CTACCAAACTTGGGTCCACCAAGTGGGAAAGGGGGTGGGCTGGGGGAATAACTGGTTTCCTTTAGTAGTTTTTTTATTTGGATAGTGCTTTTTCTGTGTTCCACAGTAAGGCCTTTTTTGCTTTGACTTGGAATAAGTTCTTTGACAGAGCATATTGCTTGGTTAAGTAACCTGAAGTATGCATTCGAATTGTGATGTCTCATGAATTTGCCAATCCCTAGAGTGCAACCAAATAGCCTTTGATGTAAAGGGCAGCGGATGCTGGAGGCTCTACTTCAGGTGCTGCTACAGCCTCCTCTAATCAGGTCTAAATTGTATAGTAAACTGCTGTGGGAAAGAGTATGGCTTCTGCTCAGGCTAAGGCAGTGGTGGTGAACCTATGGCACGTGTACCACAGCAGGCTGTTTATCATTGAATTCTCTAAAAGGTTTGCCATCACTAGGCTGAGGGATTCACTAACCTGTCCTACAGATTCAAAGCCACACAAGCTAAACCTCACCTAGCACCTATTTCAGTTTCATGGCTTTTGTGTGATTTTTGAGAATTCCATATAAACTTGTGCCCAGATTTTTAAGATATTAGCCATTCTGTAGATGCAGTGCTTGCCCCAACTAGCTCTGTCACCAAGCCTTGGTGTCTTCATTAGTGTACATTTGGAAAGGCCAAAGACACGGGTATAACACTTCTGTTTTTAATAACTGCAGATTACAGACTATCCAGTAGTATATAGTCCTTACAAGGGACTTGAAGCTCCTCTGGATTGCTGAACTTTTTTTCCATCTAATGAGATAGCCTAGCAGTTTTTCCCTGGTCTGGTATGTTTGGTTCAGCAGAAGTATTTCATCATAGTAGTGACCACTTGATGAAGAGTCTGGGTTTCTTTATAATAAATCCCTTTGCCAAATGCAGGAGTTGCAAACATGCTACTGGCAAGAGTAAAGCAAGTGGGTAAGTACAACTAACAATCCTGGTGTTGGGCATTTTCTTATAGGATTTCAGTCTTGAACATACTGGTGCAGGAATCAGACTCCTAGGAGACCACACACGGTGCCTCCTGACAGCCCCTGCTGGCCACTGTGGGTAGTAATGTTGACATTATTTGAGGTGGCAGGTATGATGCCTGCCTTAGGGTGTATTTGGGTGAGTTGTCAGGGGAGTTTGTATGATTAAGTGAAAATTAAGAGATTCTTGTGAAGCTGAAGGCTTCATTTGGGAACCAAAAACAAGTAACCTCTTGCACCTTGAGTCACATATTTTCCTTAAAAAGTATGGATTGTCCCACAAAATTTTGTTGGGGGTTATATTATTAAGAGGTGGAATGATACAGATATGAGGTTTTATTTAATGGCACACTGTACTGGAAATCTGAAGACCTATAGCAGATTTAAATTCCAGCTCTTATTATAACTTTTTAAGATTGTGACATTACAAAAATGCACCTGAATCAAGTTTTAATATACTGTATGATGGGTGGATAAGGTAGTCCATTGTATCATTTCTTTCTTTGGATTCTCAGGCATGGTTTGGCAGTGAAAGAACTCTGTAACATTAACAAATTCAATAAAAAGTAAATAATATGAAAAAAAGGGCTTGGGATATAGCTAAGTGATAGAGCACCCCTGGGATTAATCCCTAGTATCACAAAACAAGTAACTAATTCCTTCACCATAGAGCCACCTATGTTTTTTAATGTGTTGATGATATGAATTCAAAATTTCAGAAAATAAAAATAATAAACATTTATATATATGTATGTATATATGGATATATCAATCACAGGATAACTAGAAAAGTACCACATGCCCAAGGGATACTAGAGGGCCCAAACCACACACATGCACATCATTAACTGACAGTCTAGACATGCAAAGAGGAGGCAAAAGAGATCCTGTTGGAAAGTAAACGCTGGGTCAGACTAGAAAATGGACTGAAGTTTGAATGGGCTTACAGACCCACACAGCAAAGAGCAGACAATGTAAGCCTTTATGGCTTGAGGTATTTGGATTTTTTTCCTTTGTTTTCATTTTGAGACAAAGTCTCACTCTGTAGTCCAGGCTGGCCTTGAACTCATGGCAATCCTCCTGCCATAGCCTCCTCGGTGCTGGGATTATAGGCATTTACTACCACGCCTGGCAACTTGAGTGAGGTATTTGGACACAACCCCTGAACTTCGGCTGATACTAAACAATGCACACATACAAGGTATTCCTAGAAAGCCGGGCTTAAAAGGAAAAGCGAGGGGAAATAATTCAAACTTCAGGATAATCAGGTTGCATATATTTACTCCACACAAAAGCTGGAAAGAGTTCATGGAACAAATATATGGAGATTCTGAATAGTAAACAGGATTCCAACATTCATATAAAGTACAAAAATACCCCCATTTTACCCTCTTTTTCCATACCCATCATATTGCTGCTTGCTAGCACACAAATGACAGAGTGGTGACAGAGTCAACAGCAAAAATGGAAGTTCACGGGAGCCAATCTGAGGGATAGAACGCCCCATGCAAAGAACCAGTATAATTTCAACTCATGAAAAAAATCCAATCAACAGATAGTAATGTCAAGATGATACAAATGTTAGAATTGTTTGACAAAACTTTAAAGCAGCTATTTTAAAAATGTTCGAGTAAGCTGGGTGCGTAGTGCATGCCTGTAATTCCAACTACTCAAGAGGCTAAGATAGTGGGATCACAAATTCAAGTCCAACCTGGGCAAATTAGACTCAAAATAAAAAAATAAAAATAAAAAGGGCTAAAACTGTAACTCAGTGGTAGAGTGCTTAGCTAGCACTCATGAGGCCCTGAATTTAATCCCTGGTACTATCAAATAAGAAATAATGAAAACTCTTGAAACTAGAGGCAAAACAGTCGCAGCAAAGAAATAAAGGATACGAAGAACATAGTTAAAACAGAACCTATGGGACAATATAGGATAAAAACAAGAGAACTAAAATTTGAATCATCAGTGTTCCAGAAGAATTTTAAAAAAGAATGTTTTTTAAGAAGTAATACTGAAAATTTGTCAAATTTCACAAAGTACATAAGCTTACAGATTCAAGAAGCTCAATGAGCCAGGTATGGTGGTGCCTACATGTAATCCTAGCATGTTGAAAGGCTGAGGCAGGAAGACCTCAAGTTCAAGCCTAGCTTGGTAACTTAGCTTACTTAGTCTCAAAATAAAAAGTGAAAAAGACTGGATGTAGCTCACTGCAAAGGCCCTGGGTTCAATCCCCAGGACAACTAAGGGAAAAAGAAAAGCACAATGAAACTCAAACAGGAATAAACAGAGACACTGATGTCCAGATACAAAATAATCGCTGAGACTGAAGAAAAAAACAGCTAAAAATGAATTGAGGATAGCCAGGGGCCATGGCACATGCTTGTCATCCCAGCACATGGGAGGCTGAGGCAGGAGGACTGCCAATTCTAGGCCAACCTGTGCTACATAGTGGGCTCAAGACTAGCCTGGATTATATAGCAAGACCTTGTCTCGAAACAAAAAATTAAAGAGAAGGAAAATTTTGAAACTAATCAGTGAAAAATAATGCATTACATTTTTTCCGCCTTGAGACAGGGTATCATTATGTAATTCAGGCTGGCCTTGAACTCACTATGTAGCCTAGGCTGGCCTGGAACTTGTAGTGATGCTCCTGCCCCAGCCTCCCTAATGCTGGGATTACGGGTGTGTACCATTAGACCTAGCTTAATGTATTTCTTGTTCGGGAAAAAAGATTCAAATTACTATGTTTTGAGTTCTTTTGTTTTGTCACAAAGGATGCTAGAAGACCTGGCATAACATTTTATAACTGATAGCATAGAATTTCATATAAAGCAAAAATAAATATCCTTCAGAAATGTAAGTGAAAAAAGATACTTTCAGATAAAACATAGAAAATCTGTCACTAACAGACCCGCTCTAAAACAAAGGCTTGGATGTCTTCTCAATTTTATTTTGTATTAGTATGTTTACGACACATAATGATTACATTCCTTGTGGGGTGTTGGTACAGGTACATAACAGATCTTGATTATATGTCATCCTCTCCTACTCTCTTCCCTTTATCCTCCCCCATCTCTTGATCCTCTTCCCATTTGCAAAAATCAATCTCCCTATTTCCTATTATCTACCTTTTATTTTACTCTTCATTTATATTTTAGGTTTCTCATATAAAAGAAACCATGCAAAACTGAAGCTTGTGTGTCAGATTTATTTCAAGTAACATTATGGTCTCGAGGTGCATCCATTTACCCACAAATGACTTGTGTATCCTTCTTTATGGCAGAATATTAATTGTATATACCACATTTTCCTTATGCATTTATCTGTTGATGATTTAGCTATTATGAATTGTGCTGCTATAAACATGGGTATGCATGTAACAAAGCTCTAAATGCTAAACCAAACATTTCTGCTAGAAAATAAAATAGGCAAAACTCTGAAAGGCATAGACATAGCAAGGACTTTCTGAACAGAACCATATTTTAAGCATAACAAATAACATCAATGGCTGGGGATTTAGCTCAGTGGTGCCCCTGCGTGCCTGGTCAAGTGCAAGGACCAGAGTTCAATCCCAAGTACCAAAAAAAAAATAACATCAAGAATCAATAAATGTAGGGGAAAGGAAAGAAGGGAAAAGAAAAATATGAGAAAAGGAAAAAAATGGAAACAAAGTCTTTGTAAATAAGGAAGGGTGGAGGGTGTGAAGGGAAGGCAGGGGAATGGGGAAAAATAAGAACCAAGATACATCATGTAAAGGTACAAGATCCCAATGATGAATGTACTGTATTGTATATGTAAAATGCACCAATAAACTTAATAAAAAAAAGAGTAACAAATATATTTTCAAGATTTATACAAGTTTCATGACCTTTTCATTACATGCATACCAACCACTAAGTTTCATAAAGTCCCATTCTAGATAACTGGAGAAGCACCCTATATGTCTCCAGATATTAATCTTTTCCTAATCTAACCCCTAATTCTTTTCTTTTTTAGGTCATGCTTTTAGTACATGCCCTTTATAGTCATCTTGAGGAGTGGGTACGTGTATATAATACAACTTGTTTCTTTTTAAAATTTTTTCCCCTTCCCTTGACCTCCCTCTCCCGCTTTTAATTCACATTTCCTCATTTTCATTTTTGATGATTATATTACTCCTGTTTATGGTATATAATTTTTACATTATTTGAGGTTATTAGTGTCTTATAGATAGCATATCTTTATTCTACTTATTGCCCTTTACCCACCTCCTCTCCCCTTGACCTTGACATGTTGGACCCCTTTCCATTTGTAAGAGATCCATCCCTTTGTACCTTTGTATCCATCCTTTATTATTCTCTGTACTTTGCTCTACTCAAATGAGAGATACCATATGATATTTAAGATTGTGTGACTGGTTTATTTCACTCAGCATTATATTTTTCAGGTGCACCCATTTTCCTACAAATGGTTCAACTTTATCTTTCTTTATAGCTGAGTAATATCCCATTATGTATAGATATATTTTCTTTATCCAATCATTTGTTGGTAGGTATATAGGCTGCTTCCAGGAGTTAGCTACTAGGAACTGAGTTGCAATAAACATTGGTATGCATACATTGCTGTCGTACGATGTCTTAAGCTCTTTAGGGGAGATACCTAGGAGGGGGGATAGCTGGGTCATATGGAATTTCTAATTTCAGTTCTTTTAGGAATTTCCACACTGATTTACATAATGACTGTACTAGTTTGCATTCCTTTTTCACCATAGCTTTGCCAGCATTTGTGAGTTTTCTAATTTCTCGGTGATTACCACTCTTTCTGGTATAAGATGGAATTATAGTACTGTTTTAATTTGCTTTTCTCCATTGCTGTCTGGGAAAGCAGTGTGGTGCACAGCCTGAGCTCTGCCCTGAGGAGGCCATGAGTGCTGGGGTCTGGACCTCACATGACAGAGAGCAGAAAGGCCATCATTCTGAGTCCAGGAAGATGGCTCAGTGGTGAGAAGCAGAGAGAGACCCTCTCCTATACTTGTTAAAAATTGAAGCTCATTGAGGGAGTGAAGAAAATCACTCCAAAAAAGAATCAGCGAACCACAGTGTCTGGTGAGTTTTTGGGATCAGCAACTCCTACTGAAACTTGGATTCCCTTGGGAGGAAGGGCTGTTCAAACCTACAATAAAAGTTTGCAGAGTTCAAACCTGAAGGACAGGGAGCTCAATTCCAGCCTCACAGCCAGAAACTGGACTGATTTAGTAGACTGTTGCCAGCTCACTGAGATCAATTGACAGCAGAGACACACCTTAAAGGGAACAATTTTACTTTTCTTTTTTTGTCTTCTCCTTCTCCTCTTCCTTCTTCTCCTTCATTTCTCACCTTTCTTGTTACTGCTTTTGTCCTGTTTTGTGTTTTCTTGACTGCTTTTCCTTTGCCCTCACCAGTTTCCCAAAGTTTACATGATCTACCTACATCCTCTAGCCTTACCTCTAACTGTTCCCTCTTCTTCTATTTCTCTATCTACCCCCACCTCCTTCTAACTCTTCTCCCCAGAGGGCAAATTCACCGTTTTGAAGGGCTTATTTACTGCAAGCATATTTCTGGTTGGTTCTAGATTTTGATATATAACCACAAGCCTCATTCATGGGGCTAAAGGTGACAGATTCATAATTACCACAGTTTATCAGTTTCTAAGTGTGTTTGATGCTATTATTGATGCTGATTGTATTGCTCGGGCTAAAGTGACATGATTGGTCTAGTTAGTAGTCCTTCCCTGTATACCAAATCCAAGATGTCCCAAGGATCACTACAGACTCAAAACTGAAAGATTGACCCAGGAATTAAACCAAAAACATCATCAACAACAAAAAAGACCAAAAGAAGACCCAAATCTCACCAAACAGACCTGACAGCTCACCAAAGGCCAATCTAGGCGCCAATGAGGGAGAACAATCTGAAAGTCAAAGACCTGGTCTCCCTGAATTGATAACAAGGGAAATAACAAAACAAATGAACTAGGCTCTAGAAATATTCAAAGGAGAAATAATTTGCCAGATAACTACAGAGATGGAGACCAAAATGGAAGACATGCTAAGAGACACTAGAACAGAAACAGACAAAAAGTAGAGGACCTCAGGAACATGATGGAAAATAAATGACCAGCATAAGAAAAAAATGGAATCCATGAAGCTAATTCAAACAGATATCCAGGCAAATAAAAATGCCATTGAAATTATACACAGCAGAATGAGCCAATGTGAAGACAGAATATCAGATTATAGGAGACAGGATTGTGGTTACAGACCATGAAAAGAGAGATTTCTTGAAAATACTAAGGGACCATGAGAAATCAATCCAGCAGTTGCTAGATGATGCAAAGAAGAATAACATAAGATCTATCGGAGTCAAACAAAAAGGACAAAGTACAAACCACATAAAAAATATTCTTTATAGAGGTAATGGCAGAAATCTTCCCAAGGAGGGGGAAAGAATTAGACATACAGATAAATGTGGCCTGCCTTGCAATTGCAAGGACCCGAGTTCAATCCCCTGTACCAAAAAAAAAAAAAAAAAAAAAAAAAAAACTACAACCAGGCACATGATAGTCAAGATTCCAGAAATTCAACAGAAGAACAAAATATTAAAAGCAATTAGATAAAAGAAACAAATAACATAGAGGAAAGCCCATCAGAATCATAGCAAACTTCTCAACACAAACCCTCATCAAGAAGAGCCTGGAGTGATGTATTTCAAGCCCTAAAAGAAAACAACCTCCAATGCAGATTAATGTAGCCTACAAAACCATCTTTCAAATCGATGGGGAAGGCCAGAAATTTAGCTTAGTGTTTCCGCCGCCTGCCTCTTAAGCGCAAGGATCCAAGTTCGATCCCCAGTACCCCCCCAAAAAAGAGAGAATCAAAATGATAGAGAAATAAGATATTTTCACAACAAAGAAAACCTGAGAAACACATTAATACCAATCCAGCACTCCAAGAAATTTTAAACAATATCCTAGAAAAAGACAAGAATTCATAGGAAAATAGATACATATTGAGGATATACTGCTAAGCAAAATAAAGAAGTCACACATGTGTAAATACCGAATGGTTTCTCTGGTGTGAATAAACTCTAATAGTACATAAGATCCTAATGAGGTAACTGACAATTTGAAATAGGAAGAAAAGAGCTAAAGGTGTAGGGAAAGTGGGAAGGGTAGGGGAAAGGTAATAAGGAAAAGGAAACAAATAGGAGAAAATGAAACAATGGAAGTAAAATGTTTGCAAATGGGGAGGAGAGGAGGGGGTGAAGGAAGGGCAGGAACAAGGGGAAAATATGAGAACCAATTGGAAAGAGCCTATCTGCCCATCAAGTGGAAACTGGATGAAGATGTGGTTTTTCTAAAAAATGGAGTACTACTCAGCCATAAAGAATGAGAAATTAGATTCATTCATAGGAAAATGGATACATATTGAGGATATACTCCTAAGTGAAATAAATAAGTCAGACATGTGTAAATACCGAATAGTTTCTCTGGTGTGAAAAACTACAATAGTACATAAGATCCTAATGAGATAATTGACAATCTGAAATAGAAAGAAAAGGGCTAAAGTTGTAGGGAAAGTCAGAAGGGTAGGAGAAAGGTAATAAGGGAAAGAAAAAATATGAGAAAATGAAAAAACAAATAAAATGTTTGTAAATGGGAAGGGAAGGTGGGGGTGAAGGGAGGGCAGGGACAAGGGGAAAAAATGAGAACCAAGTCCTGTCATGTAAAGGTACAAGATCCCAATAATGAATGTAACTGTACTGTATACCTAAAATGTACCAATAAACTCAATGAGGGGGAAAAAAAAAGAAAAAGAAAAGAATTATAACTTCACGAACCCCAACAGAAAGAAGCCATCAGGCAAGGGAAGAAATTAAATGGAAATGGGCTGGGGATTTAGCTCAGTGGTTCTGGTGCCTGCCTCACAAGCACAAGGGCCCGAGTTCGATCCCTGGTACCAAAAAAAAAAAAAAAAAAAAAAAAAAAAAAAAGAAAAGAAAAGACAGAAAGAAAAAAAGAAATTAGAAAGAATGGAAAAAATAAAATAGCCAACAACAGGACAAAGCCATAACAGTGATAAATCAATACATATCAGTTATGTTTAAACTCTTTAATGAAATAGAAAGGGGAGCAATACTTTCAAATTCATTCCTGGAAGCAAGCATCACCTTGATCCCCAAAACAGAGAAAGACCCAACCATAAAAGAGAGCTATAAGCAAATCTCCCTAATGAACAGAGATGCAAAAATCCTCAATAAAATACTGGCAAATAGTGGAGAAGTGCTGCAGATTTAGCTCAGTTGCGCCATGCCTGCCTCACAAGAGCAAGGTCCTGAGTTCGATTCCTGGTACCAAACAAAACAAAACCACAATGCAGAAGATCATTAAGAAGATCATACACTCCGACCATGTTGGATTCATCCAAGAGATGCAGGGAGGGTTCAACATACACAAATCAATAAATGTAATACACTATATTAACAGAGCCAAGGACAAAAAGTATATGATCATCTGAATAGATGCAGAAAAAGCATTCAACAAAATCCAACATGCATTCATGATAAAAACCCTTCAGAAAAAAGTCGGTTGTGGTGGCGCACGCCTGTATTCCCAGCACTCCGGAGGGTGAGGCAGGAGGATTGCTGTGAGTTTGAGACCAGCCTGGGCTACATAGTGAGTTCCAGGTCAGTCTCAAGTACATAGTGAGACCCTGTCTCAAAAAACAAAAAAACAAAAACAAACAAACAAAAAACCCTATGGAAAACTGAAATATATGGTCTTTATCTTAACTTGATAAAAGACATATAGGAAAAAATCAACAGTCCATCAAAGAGAAAACAACACCCAACATCATACTGAAAGGTCAAAAACTGAAATCCTTTATGCTAAAATCAGGAATAAGACAAGCATGTCCACTATCACCACTCCTGTTCAATATAGTTCTATAAACATTAGCCACAGCTATTAGACAAAAGAAAGAAATAAAAGGAATAAAGATAGGAAATGAAGAAGTTAAGTCGTCACTATTTGCAGATGACATAATACTGTATATAGAAGACCCCAATAACTCCACCAAAAGTCTTCTAGACTTAATTGACAGATTCAGTAGAGTAGCTAGATACAAGGTCAAAACTAAAAAATTCAATAGCCTTCCTATACACAAACAACAGACTCACTAAGAGAGGAACTGGAGAAACAAATCCTTTCACAATAGCTAAAAACAACAACAACAAAACAAAACTAGGAATCAATCTAATGAAGGAAGTAAAAGACCTGTACTCTGAAAACTGCAGCACTCTGAAAAAGTAGAGATTGAAGAGGATACCAGAAAATGGAAAGACATCCCTTGTTCTTGGGTAGGAAGAACCAATATAGTGAAAATGGCCATACTTCCAAAGCCATTATTTAGATTCAGTGCAATTCTTACTGAAATTCCAACAGCAGGGGCAATCCACTTTCTGGTCACGCTTCTGTCTCTCCTAGAATGAAGCTATCTTTCTCTCAATAAATTCTTCCTACTCTTAACCTCCATTGTTCCTAGAATTTACTCTTTTATTTTAGAGACCACAAACTCATGTTTCAGTTATCTAGCAGGTTTGGAAATTGCATCTCTTCCCCTATATCATTTTGGAGGTCTTCTATGGAGATTACTGGTTGGAGACTCAAAGCTATAGGCCTACCCAAGATGACAATGCCTGGTCATTATAGAAGGCCTATCAAGGGCCTTTAGATAGATCCTCTTAGAGTAACTCTGACTGCTGATCACAACTATGACCCTCTTCAGCTGGATGTAGCCAGAATGGTCTTCACTTTTGCCCCCTCACAGCAGTTAGGGTTACTACTTTAGAGGGGGCAATATTGTAGATAGGTAAATTAATGAGATATCTTGCAGGCAGTTAGACAGGGCTGGACTTCATGGAACCAACATGGAGGACAGTCCAGAAGCCAATATGGAGGTCCATCAATATTTATTCACTGAAAGCCAGCACTGTAAAAGAAGAGAAACTACCATACCCATGAATTTACCCTAAGGATGAATAGCAGTGATTCATATTCTAAATAGGCA